GTAATTTAAAGAAAATGAAAGAGCAAAAACAAGACAAGCCTATTTTTTTTTAATTGACTTAGAACCAGAAAGAAGCTTTGGAAATCAAAAAGCAACAAATAAAATTGAACGGTATGAGGTACAATCATCTAAGTTTACCAAACTTCACTCTTTCAATCAGACCAGAATTGAAAACCAAACAGAAAGGAAACAACCCAGTTTTGGAAATATAACAGGGGACAAATAACCAGGATTATTTAGAAGAAAATAACATCGTTCCAGTACAATAAAAGGAAAAGCAGAAGTACAAAAGAAAAATTTCTGATTGATAACATAGTTTTGGAGTATTGCAAATGGTGAAAAACCAATTTATGTATGGTCTGGATATCAATTATTAAAAGAATAGCAATAGCAATAGCAATAGCAGTTAGACTTATATACCGCTTCATAGGGTCATAGACTCTCTAAGTGGATTACAGAGTCAGCATATTGCCTCCACAATCTGGGTCCTCATTTCACCCACCTCGGAAGGATGGAAGGCTGAGTCAACCCTGAGCCGGTGAGATTTGAACCGCCGAACTGCAGATAACAGACAGCTGAAGTGGCCTGCAGTACTGCACCCTAACCACTGCGCCACCTCGGCTCTCCTCAAGAAGGGTTTGGTTCATTATTACCACATAGTAGTAATATTTGGAAATAATTGGTTTTAGTAACAATATGTTACTAAAATGTGAATAGAAAAAAAATGAAGCAGGGGAAGACAGAAATAATGGTTAGAAATGAAGAATATGAGTTTGGTAACATTAGGAAAGGCATCTTCTAGGACTGGGATGGCGAACCAATGGCACGTGTGCCACAGGTGGCATGCAGAGCCCTCTCTGCGGGCATGCGAGCCGTCACCCCAGCTCAGCTCCACCATGCATGCACCTCCCACTGGCCAGTTGATTTTTGGGTTGCGCACACATGCGTGGGGGCGTGGGGGGTATCACACAGACATGCATGGGGGGTTGCACATGCATGCATGGGGCAGGGGGGTCGCACACACATGTGGGGGGCGGGGGATCGCACACACATGCATTGGGGGGATGCCTCCCTGCAGCTTGTTTTTGGTCCCAGGAGGCTGCAGGGAGGCCTACTAGGCCCAAAATGGGGCATGTGGGGGTGCGCCCCCCACGGTCCATTTTCGCTCCCAAGAGAGGCTGCAGGGAGGTTACTAGACCAATATTCTGTCATCAAATTCATTTTTGGGGGACCACTATATAAGTCATAGTCCATGACAGTGAGTCTCCCATGTTGACTACAGTGGGGCCAAATGAAAGAAAAATCTATAGAAAAAAATGAATGGCCAATCACCGCCACCTCACAAAATCCTGGGCCCAAATGTCAGAATGAGCCATCTTGAGAGATTTCAGCCATGATAAATATATACTTGTATTTTGCCTCCTCATCTTAAATATCCAATACTCCCATGGATCAGATTGAGAACTTTGGTCAACAATATAGCCAATACGCTTTCTATTGTACCTATCTTCTCCATTGTAATTCCTAAACTGGCCCAGTTTACCAGAATATTGCATATTATTTGAGTTAACAAACTTCTTAACATCCTGTACCCTTGAATAATGAAACAATCCAGCGGTTGTGTTATTTTTTCCCCCCCTGCTAATTCCAAGCTTCTGCATTTGAAGCCCTTAAGTAACGATTTTTATTTATTAAACCAATTTATATAGATTAGAATAGTTGTATAATCCACTTTTGAGGCTTCAATTAAACAATAGGATTGAGATGAATCCTAACCCTTTAGAAGTGAACCCCTTTTCTTTGTTCTCCAAGTTCTTGAAAGAAAGAGCCAGCCGTATTTATCTATGCAAATATTAAAAATACACTCTGAATGACAACAATATTCTTGCCCAGCCAACTCCACATTTAAATCTACCCTTTTCAGCCTGAGGTTCAACTAGATTTCTCTCTTGTTTTTATATACAAAGTCTATGCCGTTAAACCCTGCCGACTGATTTATTGCAGATACACAACCAACATGTACAACGGCTTTTAAGAATGTTCACCATTTCCAATCTCTCTCCTTTTAACACTCAAGTTTGCTTTTCCTGACTCAGCAACAGGTTGTGTACTCACCTGAGATGACTGCATCTCCATTCAGGTACAGGCTCATCCCCAGGAGCATCAGGAGGCCAAGGATGAAGATAAAAGGTCTTCGCTTGCCCCACCTAGAAGTGCAGTTGTCGCTGACCGAACCCACCACCGGCTGCAGCAGAAATCCTAGGATGGGGCTGATAAGCCATACGAAGCTATAAAGGCTTTTGGGGAGGCCCACGGTGAGCAACACGGGGGTGACAAAGGCCGCTTCCACTGCGTAGCAGAACTCGCGGCCAAACATGACCGTGCTGTGCATAATCAACTGCCCCGTTCTCTTCTTGGAGGGCTTCATTGGCTTAAAAGGATCTTTCCCAGTTAAGGGTTTAAACACGGTTTCTTCTTTCCTACTGAGGGGTCCCATTCTGGCAATGCCCAAATCGCAGGACTGCAGAAGCTCGGCTATGATCCTGCTGGGTTAGAGTCATTGAGCTGGTAACTAGGAGGCTGTTCCATCAGGCGTAAATCCTTGGTCTGGGCGTAGCAAAGAAAAGAGCCAGAGGGGCCACGCATATTTCCCATAGCTCGGGAATCACAAGTTACAGGAAGGGGGGGGGGAGTGGAAGGGGAAATACGTCTGTGTCTCTGAAAAGAAGATTAGCACAGTTAGAATTGCTGGCTGGAAAGTGCCCAGCTCTTTATCACTGGAGGATTATGTCCGAGTGGATCACATGTCTACATAGGGCAGGCTTCAAAGTTCTTTTGAAGGCATGTGTACATTTACGGCATAGAACAGCTTCACAAGTTGTTTCATCTTGTACTGCAAGCAGTCAGGGTGTTAATGTATCTGTCAATGCTGTCAGCAGGAAAAAAGAAGAAATCTCTTCATTCAGATAGTAAACACAAGTGCCAAGCCACCTTCCCGGAGGAGGGCCTTCTCTGTGGCTGCTCCGGCCCTCTGGAACGAGCTCCCT